AATCACCACATAATTTAGCAACCAATTAAGATATAATTGCAGCATTCCTAAACTTAACAAGCCAATAAAGGAAGAATCATGCATGATTTTTTTTTTCCTTAATTTGAATTTTAAATGTTCTTCCTGCTATTTACTGCCATCTTTGTTCATGGCAAAGTCTTCTTCATAATCTAAAAAAGTGAGTAAGAAAATAATACCAGAGATTGCTGGGATTTTATGAGCTCCAAGGAATTGGAATAGCAAACGATAAAATGATATATTGCCTGTAAGGCAACACTAGTTTTCCCACCTTTTCCCCCCCCCCCTCCATGTATTTTTAGCCAGAAATTATTATTTCGTATTGTACTTAACGATGTCTGACTAAGGGAAAATACACCCTGTCAAAAAAAAAAAAAAAAAAGAAAAAAAAAAGGGGGGGTGGTATTACTCATTGTTTACATTTATCTATGATTACCTCCTTACTAACTGGTATGGTATGATTTAAATTATGATCTGCCCGGTACTTAAAATTTACTCACCGGCAAATTTCCCCCAGAGAAGGCTCCAAAGAGGAAGAGAGAGGAAGAACGTTGTGAGACACTTATTATGATGCGCCATAAATTTAATGAAAAGTAGAATTAAAAAAAAACAAACAAACATACAGCATAAGAAAGCAGTAGGGTTGAACAAGGATAAAACTAATCATCCATTTGAAGGCAATGCTTTACAGCTGGACGCCCAGCTCCTACGTGCAACAGTACGAGTTACATTTTTCACCTCGTTGATAACAGAGAAAGGCATTAAATCAGAAATGCCAAGCTCCTGCAGTCCCATTAGCTTAGGGAAAAGCTGAGGGTGGTCAGCAAGCATATGGCCGTGGTCATGAACTCAGTCGTGCATCCGGATCACGCTTTGAAGCTTCTGGTGTTTTTATTTTTTTCTTCCCCGTGGCTTTATCATGGCCCGCACCGGTTGTAACGACGGTAGGACCTCCCATAGAGGCCACCTAGACCTGAATATCCAAGGCTCCCGAGTCCCAAGGAGCTGCCGGAGGAGATAGGGACCCCCCCAGCGCTGAGAGCATCCCCTACAGCTGCAGATGCTGAGGATCCCACTGTGGTATTTTGTGGGAAGGAGCTGAGGATGGGGCCGGGCAGGGTCACCACCACGGGAGAGGGCTGGATCACGTACGTCGAGTCCTGGCACTGCCTGACGCAGGGCTCGTTGCAGCTATTCGCCAGTGGCGTTGGGCCACAGCTGGTGGGAGGGCACAGGTCGTAGCAGGACATGGCTGTGAGATGGAACTAAGTCTGAAACACAGAGGAGAAACTAAGTACAAGGAAATAGTTGTGGTTATGTTATTAAGCTGCTAAGATGATGGAAAACGCAAGAAACCAACTGGAGACTATGTGGAGAGCGGAATAATGAGTTAGTGTTAGGTTGAAAGGACACTTCAAAGAAACCCAAACTCCTCTGTGCTACAGAGGACAGCACAAGGGGTAGCTCTACTTGCTCCTGAGTGGCCTTTGATATCTCATTTCCCACAAGTCTTCCAGGATTTGGAATAGGTGGGAAACACGGGACAAGGCTTAAGATCTCCGGTATGATACGCCTAGGAGAAACTTCACCCACAACAGAAGGAAGGAGAAAAAAAATCTTCATGAGGTAGAAGCTGCTTGATAATGGGACACCTGTGAAAGGGAGATTTTATCCTTCCCACAGACGGGCTTGGCTCTTAAACAGCAAAAGAATAAATATTCTGCCTAATTCTTATTTAATCATCCCCCTTTCTTTGTGCTTATTTTCTCTTACATCAGTCTTACAGAGAAAGGAACTTTCTGTCTGTTTCTGAAGGCGGGCGGGGGGGGGATAGAAGTCGACAGTGTCCAAAATCATTCGATAAGCAAATAGAGAGGGTGGAAGCTTTACTATTGATATTTCAGTTACTGAGGTGCTGCAATGGAGATCTAGTGCCGAAGTCCTCAGAGCATGTTAGAAGGAGATAATAAATATTTCTGGTCTCAAAGTGCTTAAGACCAGAGAAGGATTATTTTCACGGTACCTGGTGCAAGAAGAGATATACTTTCAGTATTTTTCAGCACGCTTCTGAAAATTTGAGCCTGCTTACTTATCTATCTACAGAAAAAAAACCAAAAACAAAAACAAAAACAAAACCCTCCAGGAAAGCCAAAATCTCTGTACAGATTCTCCACATCCGCTTCTAGCTGCCGAGCGATTGGCGTGCAGAGATTCAAACATCTTGGAACCGAACGATCCGGTGACACAAATGAACAATTAGTCTGAAGTCCTGCGTCCGGCAATTGCCACCCCTCAAAGAAGAGCCACCCTCTTCTAGAGAAAGAGCTACTTGCAGGTCTCCCTGATAAAGAACCTAAAGCTTAGACTGCTATAGAGTGAAAAAAATAAAATACGATGAAGGCAACAATTCAGGACGTCGGAAGGTAAAATAGTGAGCAGATTCAGACTTACCTTTTTTCGCTGAGGAGAATAACGCAGAAGTGGATGGCAGCAGCTCTCGCCGTGCTGGCTTTTATATTGTGTCCTAGAGCGCCTGAGGACCCGAGACATATTGTGCATGTAGCTATTTACCAGCCAATTGCTAAAGACTTCTCGTATGCAAAATATTCCCAGCTGATGATTTACTTTTTCCTCGCTGTTTGTATTTATTGGCTTGATTTAATTTTCTCACCCTAACATATGCATTCCACTATAGAGGTTTCTTTTATCTTAAAATTTTATGAGCCCAGCTAATTCCTGGTCAGATCAGCTGGTTCATCTGAGTTACTAAAGAAATTATTTTGCATCCTAAGGGCAATAGATGCAATTTACATCATTTGACTGAGATGAATTTTTTTATTTTTTTTTTTTCTTTTAAGAAAGACACATGTGAACTCCCCTGCGAAATCCCCCTTCCCTCTTCATGGAGAGCAGAAACTGTTGACACATCTCACTCTGACAAGGCCAGAAGTTACGAGTTTAGACTCTAAATTGGACTGTGCGTTTAGCAAATCCTTCTCAAACAGCCAGACAGTTGCACAAACTCAAAAAATAAAATGGTTGCAGAAAGCGCTTAGCAGAGCTGATTACCAGTCTCAAAGGTACTTATTGGGAAATAGATTATTTGAAGGAACACGCTGTTTTACTTCCTTGACTCAGGAGACAGGATGAAAGAGTATCAGCAGTCTGATCAATTCATTTAATATTAAACGACTACACATCCACGGAGGAATTTGAGGCAACGCTCTTCAATTTGGCAGCTGTCAAAGTCCTTCATCTCAGGAGTAAGGAGTCTACGGTTTTAACTTTCTTCCTACATCAAACTCCAGGAAAACAATTCAGGTCAGATTGAGGATTCATGTGAATTTTAGGCTAGTCAGAGCCAGTGGTGCTCAAAGCCTTGCTCAAGCTTACTTATGGGGTCATCAAAGACGCCAAACAATTTTACATTTGCCATTGAATTACTATTTTCCCCTACTGTCTCTTGCACCATCATACAAAATTAGACTCCAAATTAATGGTAGCTACTTAGAGAAGTTTATAATCTTCTTCTTTTTTCCTCTTTGGAAAGCAAATAATGTTGGCTTCATTTCCATGGTCTCAAAGCACATTGCAATGCGCAACAATTCAATTTCTTTTTCAAAGACAATTTCTAGATTAAAAAGTAATTGCATACAATGTATAAGCAAACTTTAAGGGAAGGGATCAGTATTCCAATCTCTCCTCCTCTAATGTTTAAATCACTTCGCTAGAGACATACAAATTGTCTCTGAACTGTGAGTATCTTCATGAAGATCTCCTGGGAAATAAATGCTGATTGTTCGCTTCTGAGGAACAAAAGTCTTCAAAGTTCACACCGTGTTTCCATCAATGGCTCAGACACGCAAATGATGCACCATCAGGAGATGTGAAGGTACGCGACACTATTTGAACATGATCGGTGTTTAAAGTTTGTGACCAGGATTACTGATGGATTTCACAGACCTTCGCGTTATATGGTGTCACAAACTGGAGTCCTTCCATTTTTTTTTTTTTTATTTTTTTTTTTTTTACTTAAAATACAAATATTTGCAGAAAGTCACACGTTAAAAACCTCATTCCAGTCATCAGTCACTGGATGTCCTGGAGTATATGATGACCTCCATCAGTGACGTTACAGACTGAAGCTCTCCCTTGAGATTTACCAGTCTTTTCCCAACGCTCTTACCACAGACATACTACTGCGATATCAAAATATTAAACCCCATATGCCTTTATACCAATAACTGTCAATTTACCATAAGAGGAGTGTGTCATTTTCGAAAACAAATTCATCAAAAGGTATAAAATGATAAAAAGAATCACAAGTCCTCTCCTGAAGGTGCCCATATGCCAAGTTAGCCTGGCTGGCTCAAGCTCCTCATGCCAGGAGCTGAAAGCTCTGGGATGTTGCTCTTTGGAATATTACAAAGAGTAGAGAACCGAAATCTCCCAGTCACTTATCAGGGATGAAATTGCACACTCGGGATTTAAATTAGAAGCTCTTGCTGTGACAGCGGGTGGTACTCCCATGGGCCAGTGTGACCAAAATGCTAAAGAGCAGACAAATTTCCTAATCAAATCGAATTTTGACTCATCCCCATTTTGGGAAGGTGGAGTCGGTATAATGGAGCCAGGCATATTTAGTGGATGCAAATGAAAAAAAAAAAAAAAAAAAAGATGAAAGAGACACCATGGAGAGTGGTTTTCATCCAATGCCAGGATCAGCCCAGGCAATAAACATAAACAGTAAACAAAACAATTTTACTAGTGGGAACCCAGCCATATGCAAAAAAAAAAAAAAAATTAATGCAGGAACTGGTTAGTAAATATGCAAGAATGTCTAGAGTCCTCCAGGCAGCCCGAGAAAGCTATAAAGACTCTTCAGAGCTGTCCTGCCCCTTCCCTTATCCCTGTGTGCACAGCAGATGATACAATTCTGGGTTTGGCTTTACTAAACTTAGTATTGAAATATATTTTCACTGGCAGCAGTCGAAAATATTTTGTGTGTCCCCCCAAAACCAGCTCACATTATTCTTTTTTTTTTTTTTTTTCTATGGGACCAACTTATCCCGGCTTATATTGACAGATGCAAGTTTAACAATTGAGAAAGAGAAGACACAGAGTTCTTTTGCTCAGAGCGTGTGCGCTCTACCCTGTACTGGTTGATACGCTGCTGGTTTATTGTCTAACACTACGTGTGACTGCACCCATGTCACCCGTTTATGTAGACCCCCAGTCCAACAGGGTATGATGTTTCCAAAACAAACACAATAACAACTTGCCAGGCGACATCTGAGCTTGTCTCGCCTAGGAAAACGTTCTCTGTAACACGATAATCTAGCTCAGGTTCTGCAGCGGTGAATAAAACATTTTCAGACGAGATACAAAACCAAACACAAAGTTTTTACTTTAAGACCGTGCTATGTTTGTTGGTGCAAAAAGATTTAACCCAAAGACAGTAGTTTGGGCCAAGAAATACGGGAGAAAATGATGCTGGAGGATTGTTTTTACTTTTTGTTTTGAAGAAGTGAGCTGCAGACCTGAGGGGTCTGCTACCATGTCCGAACGCCGGAAGGATTTGGAAAGGGTGCACACGCACAGAGGGTGTGCAAACCTCTATGGAGAGGCTTGGTGCAGCTGATTAGAAGAAAGCGCAGCAGAAAATTGTTAGGAGGCGATCGCAAGTGTAGGCAAATAAACTTTGTCATGAGAAATTTAATTATCTGTTTGTCCAGCTGAATATGTTAAAGCTACCTTCCCTGCAGTCCCTCAGCCGTAACTCTCTCCGGCCATATTGATTCTGCGAAATTGCCTTCTCTGCCGCGTTAGATACGCAAGCTGACCTCCGTGAGATGAACCTATTTTGCAGCAACTCCAAAGGAATGATGATTTCTTTGCAATGCGTTCTCTTTGATCAAGCAGTAACTTCAGCTGAGATGAAAAAAAAAAAAAAAAAAAAAAAAAGTACACATTTAATTCAGACCAGCCTTCTGCTCTATTATAATATCAAGCTGCTAATTTTCCATTCTCTTCTGTTGTTTATTAAGAAAACCTGCTCCTTAAAATTATTAATTCTTTCATGGAACTGAGGTATCTCCTTTAATTTAGCTCTGCTAATGACTGTAGTCAGTATAACTTTGTCAACCTTTTCCTCTGGCTTTAATTACAGTTCAACGTCAGTCTGTACAGACACAGACAAAGACTCCAAGCAAGAAATTAGATATCAGGCTGTGAGTTGTACGGGCTGACAGGACATTGAATCATCCAGAACCTTCAGGTAGAGTTTTTCAAACCTCCTTCCTTCAGGGACCAAAGCTCCCAGCCTCTAAACACCGACTTTATTACAATACAGATGATCAAGCTGGAACAAAGCAATGCCCAATGAACTTCAGCTCTAGACACAACAGATAGGAATCGGTTTATAAAGACACACTAAGAAAGGCTTAGAACTTAAAATGCTTTCATCTTCTTTTTTATCCCAGACATGTTTCCCAAGCCAGCAAAAGTCAGAGGCTAATTCCCTTGCAAAAACATCACCTAGCCCTCCCTTCCTCCTCTCTGAGAGGCACCAGGGCCTGATCTCAGCTGCCAAGAGGTTCTGCACCCACCAGAAAGCTCTGGGCTCTACTCAAAGGGGTGCCCCGAGCTTGTTGCCTCTCTCCCACCACCTCTGCCCTGAGCAAGTTCAACTGTCCCAGGAAAAGCGTCATCTTTCCCTTCTTTTAAAGGGATCTTCCTACGTATGACAGATAGGATAAAGAAAGCCACAATCTTCTTCCAGGTAATAGCACATATATCCTATTTGTGCAGTAAACTGAGACGAGTGGGGGTAGCACTTCAGAATAAAGCTTTATCCCTAGAATTTCTAGTGTTCCTCATGCCCCTGTAGATTTTCTTGCTGCATCCCTCTGTCCTCTTTTTCCATGTTGACACTATTACATCTAAGGAAGGATAAGGAGAAACCTTTTCCTGAGTATTCCCCTCGGTGAGCTTTTCCCTGAAATTAGGCTAAACCACTTCTCATCGAAGGGAAGCTAATCCACCTCCTCAGATCAGACTATTGCCCCAGTCAGACTCCCTCCGAAAAGACACCCATCTCAAAACATTTTCTTGTAAGAGAGCAATATTAAAATAGTTGAAGGGCCTTTTTCCCTCTCCATGGTAAAGGGTCTTTAAAGGGTAAATAGAAGCAGCTCCCTGCTTATCCCTTAAGATTTCCTGCTTATGCAGCGACAGGAGACCCACCCATTGCAGGTGAACATCATCTCTCTAGCCTTTGAGGAATTCTCTGAGGCTTGACTGACCATCTATAGACAAAGAGAAACTTTTTCCACAACTGCAATTCGACTCGTTCTCCTTTGGCAATAGAGGTGAAGGTATTTGCACGGTGTTTTTCTGGAACTAATGACTTGCAAAGGGGCCAGTTTCACCACGGACAAGCTGGAAAAGGGGCTGGGAGAGTCAAAAAAATACAGGCAAACTCGGAGTATGATGCAGCACAAATTTAATGAGGCTGAGGAATGGAAGGAAGCAATGTAAAGTGTAAGGAGCACATTTCCACGGTCCACTAAGGACGGTACCCACTCATCCCTCTCACAATGACACACTCAGCAGAATGAGATCTTCCTTCTTCATTAAGTGGACTGTACTGATTCTGTCATGCAGAACAATTTCTAATAATTACATATTTTACCTAGTCATTGTCACATACAAAAAAAAACCCAAAACAAACAACAAAACAAAACAAAAAAACAGCATAAGAGAACAAGACATTTAATCAGATATATAAAGTAAAGCATAACAAAATTAAGACAAGCAAAGGCCTGGTTTTAGGAGATGCCAGGCTCCCACAGCTCCAGTAATCTCAGGTTGTGGGTGTCTAACATCACTTCTGAAAACCGTGGCCATGAGCTCAGTCCTGCGTCGGGTCGTGCTTCAGCATTCCTGGTCATTTCTTCCTGCTTGCTCCTCACACTTTAGCACGGCCCATAGAAGCCGCTGCGGTAGGTGTTGTAGCGACGGTAGGGCCGGCTGTACCCACTGCCCAGGCCCGGATAGCCAAAGCTCCCGAATCCCAAGGAGCTGCCGGAGGAGATGGGGACTCCTCCAGCGCTGAGAGCACTCCCGACGGCCGCGGATGCTGAGGATCCCACGGCAGTGTTCTGGGGGAAGGAGCTGAGGATGGGGCCGGGCAGGGTCACCACCACGGGAGAGGGCTGGATCACCACTGTTGAGTCCTGGCACTGCCTGACGCAGGGCTCGTTGCAGCTGTTGGCAAGCGGGGTTGGGCCGCAGGGGGTGGGAGGACACAGGTCGTAGCAAGACATGTCTGTGGGGTGAAGGTAAATCTGAAACACACGCACAATTACATTAAATTTAAATTCTTGCAATACAAGAATTTGAAGAAAACTCTATTTGTACATAAGGGGAGATTTTAACCAAATAACAAGAGATTCCATGAGAGCAGGACATTTTTCACCAGAGCCAGAGGAAGTACTTCGAAAACAGAGTTGAGCTTGCGTTTTCTTTAAGGTGACTACTAGGGAAAGCAGCGCTGGTGCCTCTCAGTTGGTAACTTACCCCGAAGCCTCTGTGGTTAGTCAGCTCACCCAGGAAACCGGGTACATGCTGGTGCTGAAAGCCTCTTCACTCACATCGCAGAGGGTGTCCTAACCACGCGATCATAACACTACCCTTGGGAAAAGGTATTTTCAACATTTTCCCTTGCAGTCGCGGCCGCACACAGGAAAATTCCTAGGGCTCTGCGTGTCCTAGAGGTTGACTCTGTAGCCTTCAGACAAAGGTGCTTTGCTGGGACAGGTAAGACTCGGTTTGTTATTCCTGATCCAAAGCTTGCTTCTTTGTTAAAGAGTCAGTGATGACAAACAACCTACCTAGTGTTAATGCAGTAAATAAACTTTCCCGTTTCACTCCTGTCATGTCCTCTCATGCACATTCCCTCCTGGACGTCCCTTCTTCCAGTTTTAGAAAGGGGAAAAATAGAAGCTTAAGCACTTAAAATCGGTTCAATAAGAAAAGGAAGGACAGGCAGCTGAACTCAGGAACCCTCCGATTTTTGCGTAGGGTTACCAGCATTGAAATCATCATCAGATCTGAGAAGCTACATTGCAAATCTGCCCACCGTTGTTTGGAGGATGGAGAAGCACCTGGGTAAAGGCACACTTGCCTGCAGAAGAACTACGTATTGAGCGTCAAATGCGGGCATGGACTGATGATTTCTTTTTACGTGGCGAGCTGGTGACCCAAGACCGTTAGTGTTGGCCAGTATCCCTGTGTTCTTCCGATCTTCTGGCCTTAGCTGAATTTTCCACAGACAACACACTACTCTGCACAGACCCAAGAATTCACTGCAGGTATTTTACGTTCAGCTGCAGGGCCTGAAAACTTGCCACTCGATGATTTTTATAACAGACCACCCACAGAAATTTCTCTTTGTTCATACGAAAGACCCTTCCTCTCAGAGAAAAAAAAAAAAAACCAAAACAAAAAAAAAAGCGGAAGGTACTACAACATTAATGAGGAAAATCTACAAAATCATCAAGGCAACAGGTCAACATATAAAGGAAGAATAAATGGGTTCAGACTTACCTTATTCACCAAGGCAGAGGAGGTAAGAGAAATGGATAGAAGAGCCTTGAGTTGCTCAGGTTTTTATACCGAATCCCAAGTTGCCCGACAACTTGGGACATTCTTTGTGCATGAAGTTATTTATGAGCCACTACTGATTACACGTTTTTGTTTTTTGTTTTTTTTCCTCAGTATTTGTGTTTATTACTGCTTTACTTCCTTATCTTGTGGCATGTATATCTGACCACAATTTTCTTTCATCTTAAAATATTCTGGGCCAAGTTAATTTCTGGGAACACTAGAATGATTAATTCAGATTTATTCTGCCTTCAAAACCCTTTTGGATCTGCCTGGTGCCATTAAAGGAGATTAAGCATAATTTACATAATGCAGTCCCTTGTACCCTTCTCCGCGAGGTAAATAGGGTTGGAAATCATGAGGAATTCAACTAGGAAAAAGAGAAAAGAGACTGATTTTTTTTATTTTTTTTTTTTAGAAAATGGCCAGGAATACATACACATTTTTCACCCAACTCCAGCCCTAAAATGAGAAGGGAAAGACGCCAAAGCTTGTGAGAGTCATGAGGAACTGAGAAGTGTTCTGGCTGTGTACAAAGGCTGAGTTATAACTAGAAAAAAACACTTAAGATATCGCTTCTTTGACATGGAAGAAGAAACAAAAAAGAATATCAGAAGTCCAGTCTAACGACATAATAGCAAATGCTAGCACTCCTGTGGAAGAGGATGAAGGACAAATCTTATTAATACAGGATCTTTCCTGGCTGTCTCTAATTCTGGGCTTGATCTCTTCCGAGGCCTTTATCTAAAGAACCCACAAATCCACTTTTATTCTTATCTCACACCTCAAAACATCAACAATTCGGGTTAACATCCACCTGCATAAATACGTCCCGTTGCTTGATGATGTCTGCTCTCAAAGAAGAGTTCTGCAAGAGATAAGGCTTTACAAAACTCAGCTGTGGAGGCAGAAGAAGTCTTGTACAATATTTTTTTTTCCTTTCCTCTTGCAGCATTAATTTCTCCAGACGGCCCTGCAGTGTCTGGTAGAGACGTGTTATACAGACCAACGGCAGCCAGTTGGAGAAGTGTCCAAAGTAGATGAAGTTTCAATAATTTCTTCACTTGCCGTCAGTTTTTCTGTCACTTTACAGCAGGTTTTTGGATTGTACAAGGAAGTCGAGCTGCTCCTACAGGGCGGTGGGGGCTTGCAGGGTAAATAATAAAGGGGTTTAAGTACCTAAGCAATCCTAGACACGGAGATTAGTACTCAGGATTTTGCTCTCCTAGTACTTCAACTACTGAGACATGTAAATCAACTCTAAATTAGGATTGTCTTCGTGAAGATCCCCTGGGAACAGAAACTCGTTTGGCTTGGTCATATGTTCCTGAGGACTTCAAAGTTTATCAGAAGCTGTTATTAAAGTGCCAGGCACGCAAAGTATCATATAATGTGCAAATTTAAGATACGTGACCCGTAGTTGAATTCTCATCTCTCTTCTGCACTAATATATTATTAAGATTTAGGAGTGTGGGTCAGGCTTTGGGTTCTAAAATTTGTGTCATTGTTCCTGGCTGCAGGAATTACAGCTGGTTGATTTTTAATTTAAAAAACAAAATAAAATAGCTCAAGGTTTGGTTTAAGACATTTGATATTTCAAGGAGATTCTCATATAAATTTCCCTTGGGTTTTTTTTTAGCTTCACCAGCCCTGTCCATTCCTCAGTAGTTCTCCATATTCTAAGGGATTAACAGGCTTTTCCAAAAATAATTTCCTCTCTAGCAGCTGGTAGCTAGCAGCTATTCGAGGAATTAATTTGCACAACAGTATCCATAGATTATTGTCATCTTTTTAAATTATTCTTCCTTCATCAAAGCTGTTTGAAAAACACAAAATAATTTTAAAAAACACACTATTAGTTTAAAAAAATCGAACATTTTCAGAAATATCTATACCCTTCCTTGAAAATACTTACAATAATTATTGTTCCAACTCCAGCCACTTTATTGTATAGTCATAGTGACTTAATTGCCTGATTTTCCAGATTAATTAAAGTGAGTGAATCAGTTCACAGTTTGGTTTGGGTTTTTTTTTTTTTTGGTATAATCAAGGACAGACCTATATATTCAGATTATAATTAAAACTTCTTGCATAATGCGAGAACACCCTCCCCAGACACCCGTAAGTGACTAAACATCTGAAAAAAAATATTCAAAATATTCTTAATAAAAGTGGGACTAGAAGCTTACTCACATTAATCCTCACATAATGGCTCCAGACATCAAAGTGACCCCAGAGTCTGTGCGTGGAAAAACAGACACGCAGAAAATGGAAGTTTCCATGGCACGAAGGGTGCCATCTGCAATAAACTTCGAATTGTAATTAATTAACTTATTATAAAGAAATGGGTGCCTCGGAGGCTCCGAGCGGTTGAACAAATCTGTAAAAGGTCTCACAACTCAGAGCCCTCCCGTACCGCCCCCCTCCTCTCGCCATTCACAACAGCTCGGATGGATCTTGGTTTTATCTCAGCCCTCGTTCTTAGCTAATTATTCGCTGTAATTTATTGCTTGGCCCAGGAAGCGGCCTGGTGGTGTTAGGCAGAGCTTGCGACTTAAGCTTCACAACTTCACCTTCTGCTGCTCAAATCGTTTCCCTGAAGGCAAAGGTGTTCATATATAGGCCGATACGTAGTCCTCAAAGTTCATCCCTTCACACAGCTGTTTCCATTGCTAATGGTATTCAAATACTGGTATGAAGCACTTTAAAATGACAAAAGTCTGAGGTTTGGTTTTGCATCTTAAGTTTAAAGAATTTACGTTGCAATTTCCCTTTTTGTTAGAAAAAAAATGAATGGAGCTAACTGCTGCATACAGATCTGCGGAGTATTTCTGCAAAGGGGCAGGTGTAGTGTGGTTGTTCTGCTGGAATTTGATGGGGAACAGCAGAAGAAAAAAAAAAAATAAATTTATGCCGCAGGGAAGAAATTGTTTACTCACCAGTAACATCTACAACACACCCCACCCAAAATGGGTGGGCTTTACTTATTTTTCAAATGCGTTTGCATATTTATTCAAATGCAGATTTTAATTATATTTCGAGCCGCAGGAGTGCAATTAAGTATTTCTCTACCCATGGCCCTGTTGTGTCAGATCCACCTTCCCGGCAGAACAGTGTCTTGGTGCCACCAAGACTGATGGACGTGTAGTCGTAATCCATCACCTCCGAGCAACGGATTGCCTTTAATCATTGGTATAAACCCTTTTCACAAGGCAATTTTTCTTTCTGACGGGGGTTACATGAGATATCACCCGCCTGCGTTTTGATGCGTTTACGTGCCAGATCCCTGATTTATATTTACTTCCATTAAGTCATTGAGGAAGGAAAAGGTTACAGCCCACATGTTTGGAGCCGGAGACCCAGGTGTGACACACATTCATTTAAATCCTTTCCATCCCAGGTGAGCAGAGAAGGGTTTCCACACTCAGAATAAACTTTGAAATGACACACTTCCACATGGGGTGAAAATTCAGCCTGTCGTTTTACTCCGCAAATACCTGCAAAGAGTGAGCGTACGCAAGTACCTCCGCCAAACCCAACTACTTCGATGCACACAGAGGCGCCAGGAGCCCTGCTTACAACACGAGTTACACATCTGCGTTGAAGTAGCCTTAGGTTGGCGTGAATTACGAAAAGCATTCGATATAATTTCGAGGAGGAGGAGCTCTCCTCTTAGAGAATTCCCCTCAAACCCTTGGGGGTCCCACTCTGCTCAGGCCACAGCCATCAAAAATGTTTTCTGATGAACAAGAGGAGGTCGGTAATACGCAGTTTAAGTTCATGGTCTTCCCGCGGTGACGAACCACAGCGCTGGGGAAGGAAAAGTAGAAAATTTATAGTATTTGCAGACAAAGTGTCTACTCTGTATAGTATCTGTTTTGCTACAGCGTATCAAATTTATCTCACACAAGCCTCTGCTTTGTCACAAAGCGTATACCTTGTACACACAATGTTCCCAAAGCTTCCTGGCTGTATAAAGATTTCTTGGTGTAAGGGTCACCAGCCAAATCCTTACTTCTAGTCAACATAAAAAAGTAGCTTTCGGTTGGTAAAGCAGAGGAGCAGTAAGAAACGTGACACCCAAAAAAAAAAAAAATAAAATGAGCAGCTCAAAGATTTTCAATCAAGCACGAGGAGACTCGGGTTGCGATGCAGCATAACTTTAATGAGAGCAAAAAGTAGAATAAAAAAAGTACAAAGTGTGTATCTAGGATTCCGTAAGACAAAAGCTAATATGTCTTTTCATCCTGGGTTCCTTTTCTCAGCGCTGCTGTGAGCTGAGACAATGAAGTCCCATCTACGGCAACAGGGAAAAAAAAAAAAATATGTTTCATCAGAAGTATGAAGTATTCAAAGAATAAGACAAGCAAAGGCCTGGGTTTAGGAGATGCCAAGCTCCCACGGCTCCATTAATTTCAGGTGGAGTCGTGGGTGTCTAACATCACTTCTGAAAACCGTGGCCGTGAGCTCAGTCCTGCGTCGGGTCGTGCTTCAGCATTCCTGGTCATTTCTTCCTGCTTGCTCCTCACATTTTAGCACGGCTCGCTAAAGCCGCTGCGGTAGGTGTTGTAGCGACGGTAAGGCCGGCTGTACCCGCTGCCCAGGCCAAAGCTCCCAAATCCTGAGGAGCTGCCCGAGGAGATGGGCACACCCTCAGAGCTGAGGGTGCTGCCCACGGCTGCAGAGGTGGTGGATCCCACGGCGGTGTTCTGGGGGAAGGAGCTGAGGATGGGGCCGGGCAGGGTCACCACCACGGGAGGGGGCTGGATCACGTACGTCGATTCCTGGCACTGCCTGACACAGGGCTCGTTGCAGCTGTTGGCCAGCGGGGTTGGGCCGCAGGAGGTGGGAGGACACAGGTCGTAGGAAGAAGACATGTCTGGAGGATGGAGGGAAGTCTGAAATACAGGGAAGACAGCAAATGCAATTTAATAGAACGTAATGCAATATAAAATGCAATATAAATGCAATGTAAGAGAATTAAGTTCATAAAAGTCAGGTAAGAGGCTAAATGTGAAAGTGCCTAGCGATGATGGTCAGAGAGGTATTCGCTGTTAGACCAGAATCCACAGCAGACAGTCTGAGGCTTCTCTTAGATTTATAGGGCTGCTGGAGGACGTCTCTGCTCTGCGGCTGGCCAGTCACGATAACATCTGCCCTAACCCCTACCAGCAAAGGCATTTCCCATCCTTTGGTAACTTCCCTTTGCACTCTCTCTCTGGAGAAGGTGCAATCGAGGCTGGACCAGCTGATGGAGAACAGCTGGAGCTCTCATCCTGCCTGGCAAGTGGCCCTGAGCTGAACAGTGATGCCAAACTGGGTTTAGTGCCTTAATGCTAGAACTTAGCCACTAACACCCCAGCCAGCGGCGTTTGTAGAACTACGAAAAAGTGTTTGAGAATCATCCTTTGCTCCCAAATGTTGTATGACCAGATCAGGCAAAACTGGAGTGCAACGAAGGATTATTTTCCATGTCAGAAGTTTCTGCCTTGATTTGAATTAAATGTGTTTGAGTCTGCTGGGATTCTGCTCTGCCTGTGGAAAACAGGACTTGGGGATAAATCCTGGAGCTCAGCACATTTTTAATTTTTTTTTTGTAGTCTCAGTTTCTTCAGATGAGGCTTAAAAAGACCTGGTACGTCTAACCAGGTTCGTTGACTAGCTACACCCTCAGCATCGGTCTCTAAAACGGAGCATGCAGCTGCTTGTTTTGAGAGACAATCTTGCCAGCATCCTCTAAGTCCCGTCTCATTACATCCTGCTTCATACTTAAATAAAGCCTTTCTTCGCGATGGAAGCAAGCTTTTCTAATTTTCCTTCCCAAAAGGGAAAAAAAAAAAAAAAAAAGCTAGCAATATTTATAAATAATTAAGAATAACAAAAACAAACAAACAAACAAAAAAAAGCAGTCATCAAAGTAACATTTTAGCATTTAAAAAGACACCGGGTAGATTCAGACTTACCTGTTCACCGGGGCGAATAAGGCAAGAGAAGTGGATGGAAGAGTCTTGTCTTGTATAAGCTTTTATACCATGTTCCAGACTGCCTGCAGACCAGAGACATATATTATGCATGAAATTATTAATGATCAGTACTTTTGCATGCAAAATCCACCAAACTGATCAAACATATTTTTTTTTTCCCCCTTTCAAAATCTCTTTTATTATTGCTCCTTTTTTTTTTTTTCTTTCCCCTCCTCTTATTACATTCACATTCCAGTACAGACAAAGCTTTCATCTTCACCAATGTTCACCCATTTAATCGCTTGGAAGATTGTGGTGACTCGTTTGAATTACAGCGCTAATTACGTTGCCTCCTAAGGCCAACGTGCATTTTATGTTTCATTTTAGTCATCAAAACGCTGCTTAAGGGGATTGTGCGTGATGCATAGTCCTTATTCAAGACTTCACTCCTTTAGGTGAATAATCATTTGGCTCTGAGGCGGGGGCCTGGTCTCAACTCACAAGCATTTCCATTTCAAGGAGTCAGCTTTACCACAAGACGAGATCTATAATAAATATTCCCCGATTTCGCACTTCTGCACCATTTCAACCCCCCACAAACATGCAGCTGAGAAGAGCACCGAATTTCCAAGACTATTGGAAAGGTGAAAGAAAATTAAGATGGGTGAGAACTGCTGCCTGGAGACAATAAAACACATTCGAGAACTCCTCGGGCTAAGCTGCAGTTTCCCAGTCTGTATGAATACAGCTAATAGATACACAGGTAAGATTTTATTTCTTCACCCAATCATAAATTTCGATTTCCACGCCAAACGATCACACTTTTAATGAAATCATTTAATTACTTGATCTTAATCACTTCGTGCCATTTATTAAATGCCTCTAGCTCTAGATATGAGTTCCGTGCAGTCTCTCATCTGAGGAATCACCATTATTTCTGCTTGAAACTCCAGGATGTCCAGCAATTTTCACATCTAATTAAGTCTGGATGTGTCTGTTTGCAAGTATTAGCCCTCAGAGGCAGAGTTCTGCCTGAGCCAAACTACCGTGTCGGTAGAAGTTATACCCAGCAGTTCCCCCTTACATTTCTCATTACATTATTTGTTTCACCTCTGGAGCCTGCAGTGGCCTGTCCCGGCTCTACTCCAACCTGCTGGAAATACTCGCGTAGATGGAAAGCGCGATAAAAGCAGAGATCAGGTCTCTCCTCTTGGCGCCACTGTCCCTCGGTGAGAGATATGAATTAACTCTAAATGAAAAGTGCCTTTATACATAGGTTGGTCTTGGTCTTCAAAAGAACAAAGGACTTCAAAGTTCAGAGCAGCTTCTCACTAATGGCTCAAATATGCAAAGTTTCATGCTTCCTAATGCTCAAGGTACATGACAAGATCTCAGCGCTCGCATCGCCTGGCTAATAACCTAATTTCAAAGTGTGTTAAGTCAAGATCACCCAAAGGACTCCACAAACTAATTCAGAACAAACACCTTCAGAAACTTTAATTATTTTATTAAAGTTTTTCATCATTCATTAAAAAAAAAAAAAAATAAAGCGAACCTTCATCTGTAAAATCCTGTAAGTCTACGTATTTTAATTCTTCTCCACAAGCAAATGCTCCTCTCCCTTTCTACAAAAGGAAAGAGTCTTTCTCCCCCTTTGCTCAAAATTTGTACCACCCAACATACTACCTGTAGTCTTTTTATATATGTTAAAAAATTATTTCCTTATAGTAGGTGAAAGCTATCGCTCACCTGGATGATCCGTGTCCCTTTAATCTGTAAAATGAGCCAAGGAATGCTAAATTTTCCTCAATTCTTCCCTCTAGGGATATAAACAGTTTTTCTTGGAGGGTATATAATATTTTAGAAACATACTCATTAACAGCCTGGAAATATTTTCGTTGATATTCTGCCAGTTTGGCCTAATTAGCACCTAGAGTTCATCCAAAAGGTTGAGAGCCTTTGGATCTTGCTTTTTTGGGAGCTAAGGCTGGTGAACCAGGACATAACAACTCTCGCTTACGGATCAGTAATGGAGTTTCACATTCCACACACTCAATTCAAACCCTTTGTGTAATAACAAAGTGCTCCCATGACAGGCTGGTGAGCTACCAAATTGCCGAAGAGCTGACAAATTACTTAACGTGAATTGAAATTTGTGTCGTCTTTATGTTGACTTCAGAGGCTCGAGTGTAATAGTACGAGGCATTCAAATGATCCACAGGTCTCTGAGATGAAAGAAGCTTTGAGAAAGGCTTTTCATCTGGTGCCAGAATGAGACTAGACTGGTACACAAATCTGAAGCAATTTAACTCTCGGGAACATCGTCACTATTGGAGACAATTTAACAGGCTCCAACAGACTTTATATAACTGGAATGATTGCCTCAAACCTTCCCAACATCAGAATCTCTTCATTTCCCCCACCCCCCCATCTATTGTTTTAGTAGCTGTTGCAAATCTGTGTTAAATCTCAGCTCCTTACTTGCAGCAAACATTTTAGTGTGATGGTTTCTAAAAGTTTTAATGCCTACAAGCGTCCTACATTTCTTTTATGTTATCATTCTTCATTCCTTGACATGAGGTTTTGTTGGAATTCTGTAAGGCTGCAGCCAGGACAGTAAAAACAGGCAGGCTTTTACAAGGAGCCCTAAAATACACGTTATTTATGCAGTAAATAGCAAGTAAATAGATCAAGCAGTCTTGCTGTCTGTCACAAAAAAAAAAAAAACAAAAAAAACCCAAAAAACAAATAAAACAAAACTCCCTGTCTGTACATCTCCTTTGAGACTTTTGCTGCTGTTCGTGTTTTACTTCACAAATCCAAGCAGTGTTTTGATGGTAAAAAGAATGTAAATCTTTGCACCCTGCAGCTCCAGGTCAGAGTTATGGAGAGTGTGAGTCACAAGAGGATTCCTTAAAACAAATATTCTACGCTTGACTGTCATTCTGTTAGATCATAAAATGCTTCCAGCCTTGGGAATAACTTCTTGGCAAAGATGCATAAAGCCAAGTATTATGATGAGTCAGGGTGGAATCAATATGTGGTTCAGCTGCGAAATTAAATATTTTTATGATCTTGAGCTCTAAACGTGTTATTCTCCTGTTATTAGTGGCTGCAGTAGTATTCATATCATGTCTCTGCCTGATAGTGATGATTTACACAGTGATGAATTTCACCCAGAAAAAAAAAAATAAAAATTTCAAAAGACGGTGGGAAGGGAAGGGAAGGGAAGGGAAAAAATAAAAGAAGCTGGAGATACGATAAAAGCGTAACTTTAATAATACCAAAGAGTGGATTAAAATACTGCAAAGCAACAGTGGGAAGAGTGGCACATCTCATGGTGCTGCATTCCAGAGACAGAGCTTTTCTGTCAGTGTAGCGTTGCACCTTGAGACTCAAGTCCCATCTACTGTCTAAATTATAAATTTTACAGCAGGCGGTATCAAATAACAGCAATGTGCAGCGGAAATACAGACTGGATTAGAAATATAAAGGAGTATAACAAGAGTAAAGGCCCCATTTGAGGGAACGACTAACTCCCACGGCTCCGTTAACTGCAGGTGGAGTTGTGGGTCTCTAACATCACTTCTGAAAACCAAAAACCATCAAATTGTGCTTCAGCATTCCTGGGCATTTCTTCCTGCTTGCTTCCTCACGCTTTAGCTTTAGAAGCCGCTGCGGTAGGTGTTGTAGCGACGGTAGGGCCGGCTGTACCCGCCGCCCAGGCCCGGATAGCCAAAGCTCCCGAATCCTGAGGAGCTGCCTGAGGAGATGGGCACTCCCTCGGCACAGAGAGCGCTGCCGATGGCTGCAGACGCTGAGGATCCCACGGTGGTGTTCTGGGGGAAGGAGCTGAGGATGGGGCCGGGCAGGGTCACCACCACGGGAGAGGGCTGGATCACCACTGTTGAGTCCTGGCACTGCCTGACGCAGGGCTCGCTGCAGCTGTTGGCCAGCGGGGTCGGGCTGCAGGAAGATGAAGGACACCGCTCGTAGCAGGACATCTCTGTGGGGTGGAGGTAAATCTGAAACACAGGACCAGAAGTGAATGCAAGATGAGATTCATTTTACACTTACATTTAATCTGCTCAGGTATCAGGACAATGGAAGCTTTCCAGGGATTCTTTTAGGAGTTGAGTGGGGAGGAAGCTGAGAAGGAAACCGAATTCTTAAACAAGAAGATGGAGGCTGAAATCATCTTCTCTCGGCTGTTGGTGATCCAGTGGAATAGCTGAACAGAAGTACACATACCTGTATCATCACTTTAATTTTAGTACTTTGATTGGCTGTACGTCTGGAAAGACGCCACCGAGATCCAGCTCCAGGTAGTCAGAGCATTGTAGAATCAGTAATTCTGAGTAAATCCCTGGCCACAAATGTACTTATGGACGGAGTTCAACAGACAGCGGGGAAAGGAGACGAGGAATTAGTTTCCAGGTTCCAACTCCACCCATGAATTTCAATGCAGTTAAGCGTACTTGAAGCTGAGATCTTTGGAAATCTTTCCCAGACAACTGGTCCACAGGCGTGCTAAGAGGAGGCCAGGAGTTCCCTGCACACTCCACGTGTCTGGTCCCCACACACCAATAAACACAGTTTGCCGTTTCCTTTACCCATCTCTGGGTGCTCAGTTCTCCTCGGGTTTTTTTGCTGTTCTTTTCCCCTCGTCCTCACAGCCCCTGAAACCACTTCTCTAAACTCGCAGGAGATACCGTTACACCCTACAAGACAATGTCAAAAACTTGGCAACTCTAAGACACCCAGCAGAGCTTTTTGATGATGTGATCAGAGCCAATATCCTCGCTGAACTCATTACGACTGTTCCTTTTAATCTCCGCATGCAGCTTCATTTTGTCTTCATTTAAAAAGCGGTATCTAGAGCTCAAAAACCTTGTAGTTCGACATAACTGATTTTTAAAACCCACAAACCCCCCGTTTTGAAACTTCCTAGTTTCCTTGCTCTCCAGCCATTTCTTTTAGTATCTGGTTCATTTTACCCTCTTGTTTCCCACTGGGCCCAAGTAGTAGATTCATCATAACAAAAAAAAAAAAAAAAAAACAAACACAACAGGAACATTGAAGCAGCCTCCTATGGAATAAACAGCGAAAAATAATAATAATAATAATAATAATAAAAAAATTCTGGCTGACATTTCAGAAGATAAATGCATCCACATCCTTTACAAACGCTGTTGTTTCCAATAGCAACACAGTTGAAATTTCGGGCGTTACAAATGACGGGCAAGACCCTTAAAGGTATAGAATGCAAAATGCTACTGAAAGAGGACTGAGCACGCAGATCTCTGTCATCACAGAATCCTTGGATGGTTTGAGTTGGAAAACGTCCCCTAGTTCCAACGCTCCTGCACAGGTTTTGTGCCCTTTCAGCTTGTTAATCTTTATTATTATTATTATCATTATCATTATTATAATTATTATTTAGTATTGTGCCCTTTCAGTTTGTTAATCTTTATTATTATCATTATTAATAGTAGTAGTAGTAATATTTAGTATTGTGCCCTTTCAGTTTGTTATTATTATTATTATTATTATTATTATTATTATTATTATTATTAAGTCACTTAACACGTCTGAAAGCCCAAATTTAAATTAACTTCTATCACCATTTCAAGGATCTATATCACCAAGTCAGGACTCCAGAAATACCTGTAATTCTAACAGCAAAAAAAACCCCAACGTTTTAAAAGAGAAACAAAGTCTTCCCCCAACCAATTCATCAACAAAAAAAAAAAAAAAAAAAAAAAGAACAGCGATCAAATTGTTATGAAGGAGAGAATTCAGCAAATAGAAAAAGAGAGGTAGATTTGAACTAACCTTGTTCACAAAAGAGGAAAACGGTAAGAGAAGCGGTAGGAAGGACCTGGAGTTGAGTTCGCTTTTATACTGGATCGCAGATGGCCCGAGGACCGCAGACATCCTTTGTGCATGAAATTATTTACGGACAAGTACGTCCCGAATGCAAAATCCTTCCAACTGGTTAAATGCCTTTTCCTTACTCTTTATTACTTTGTTTTCATTTCCTTATCTTCTGACACGCAGATTCCGTCAGACAAGTTTTGTCTCATCTCCTGGTGTTATGGACCAAATTTATTCCAGTGCCACCTTTCCGTCACCAGAAAATTGTGCGTTTCGCGTTCGTCATAAGGAAAAATATTAAGGAGAATTCATCCAATGTGTGGTTCGTCATTCAGAGGTGTTCTTTTATTAAGGATATGAGTGTAAATCCTTAATAAATTCTGGTCTCCACCAGCTCTAATTACAACCAAGCATAAGAACAATTTAGACTGTACTTCTACTTTTTTTTTTTTTGGAAGGCCCTGAAATAAAGGTACAAGCCTACGCACCCCTGAAACCCCACTGAAACCGTTGAGAATCAGAACTCTGGGTGAAATTCAGAGAAAAACAGGATTATACTGTATCAAATTCAGATTTGACCCAGTTACACTTGGGTAACACAGCCTGAGGGACAGCTGCTATAGCACACAGGGACCTTTAAACCCGATTTATCGGTTCTTTTAGGAAGGGAACCTGTAACTCCCTTCAGCACAGCTCAGACCACAAAAGGGACTCGCACTTCACAAGTCGTCTTGAGGACACACATGAATTTTAAAATCACATATAAATTTTCAAATCACATATAAATGTAAAAATCACGTATGAATTTTAAAATCACATATGAATTTTCAAATCACACGAATTTTAAAATCACACACGAATTTTAAAATCACATATAAATTTTAAAATCACATGAATTTTAAAAGCACATATAAATTTTAAAATAACATATACATTTTTAAATCACATATGAAATTTAAAATCATATATGAATTTTAAAATCACACATGAATTTTAAAATCACATATGTATTTAAAAATCACATATGAATGTAAAAATCACATATTAATTTTAAAATCACATATGAATTTTTAAATCACATATGAACTTTAAAATCACATATGAATTTTTAAATCACAAATTTTAAAATCACATATAAATTTTAAAATCACATATGCATTTTAAAATCATATATGAATTTTAAAATCACATATGAATGTAAAAATCATATATGAATTTTAAAATCACACATGAATTTTTAAATCACATGAATTTTAAAATCACATATAAATTTTTAAATCACATAAATTTTAAAATCACATATTAATTTTTAAATCACATATGCATTTTAAAATCACATGTGAATGTAAAAATCAAATATGAATTTTAAAATCACACATGAATTTTAAAATCACATATAAACTGTAAAATCACACATGAATTTAAAAATCACATATAAATTTTTAAATCACATGAATTTTAAAATCACACATGAACTTTTTAAATCACATATGAATTTTAAACTATTTTGAGGTATTATCCTTGCACAAACTTAACTGTGGGGTCATTGGAAGGAAAAAAAAAAAAAAGAAAAAAAAAAAAAAAAAAGATAAACCAACACACAAGGGTCTGTTTGTCTTTTTTTTTCCCTTGCTACGAGCTGTGTACAAGAGTGATTGGAGTGATTGCACGCAGACTGATGGAAGTCCGTCGCGTAAGTGGAATGCATATATAAAATTTTAATATGTTTTTTTAACTTTGCTTTGCAGTCTCTCCTGTACAAGTTGCAGGGTTTGAATCCCTCCTTGGAGAAGCTGTTAAATATTGCTCATGAGGATTCATAGACAGCTGGGAAAGAAAAGTTCTTGGTCTTCGGTTCCTAAAGAAGGCGGCCTTCAAAGTCCTTCACAGAATTTAATTATCAAACTACTCATGATATACGATGAGGTTTTAACACCCTCAGCATCCGTCCAGTGAGATGTCTTTAAAACCTCCGTCCCAAGATCATTTTTTGCCATCTATAAGCCCACACGTAGGTTTCTATTTCCACAGAGTGAAGCCGTTTGTATTTTCATAGACTCTGTGAAAACCAACACTGAACAATTCTTCCAAGAAAAAAAAAAAAATCTTTTACAAATGTTAACTCCTTTTCATATTTCAATAACTTTACCTAAAATGTCCCAGTTACACTCTTAAATATTTCCCTTCCTTTCCAGACCTAAACAATGCTGCCAACACATAAACCTGTAACCACGTACATTTTTTGAAATACAAATTCTTCTGTAGCATCGGGTGTTTACTCCCTGGAGTAAATTACCCGGAGAACTAATTTTCTTGTAAAACACGTAACAATATCCACAGAAGTTTTCAACACTTTTGTTCTGCTTTCTTCTCTTAATACAGTAGTTTCTGTTTGGCGTACTCATAGTGTGAAAACAAACTCGTCAGCGATGACTGCAGTATTTTCAAAAAGACTCCTGAAGCGTCTTCTGACTATGGCCAAACTCCAGATCAGGCTGATCGGCTCAAAGATCTCATCCAAGAGGTTTGAAGTCCTCCTTGGAGATTATTTTTATTTTTATTTTTTTTTAAAGATAGTGAACAAGTTAATTGGCGATTGTCCTTAAGTGGGTCAGACAGGGGATTGCACACAAAGAGGTTTAGGAAATGTCTCGAATGTGATCTTAGATTGTGCTCCCAAGACACCTGAAAGCTAACAAATTGCTGAGGAGCTGAAAAAAAAAAAAAAAATCTTTATTAGACTGCGCTTGGAGTAATTTCATATTGACACTGAGTCAGTATAAACGTACCAGAAATTAAAAGTACCCATAAATTGGGAAGATGAAAGAATTTTTAATGTGTAGAGTACGCTTCTCATGCAACGCCAGGCTGAAGCTAGACTGGAAAACAAAGGCAAAACAATTTCATTATCAAGAAAATGTTCCACCTGCAAAAATATATGTGGGAACTAATTAATGCAAAAAGGAAAAAAAAAAAAAAAAAAAGATGCCTCGGTAGTCTCATAAATTTGTAAACAATCCATATGCATAGCTGTTTGTACCCATTTCTCCGGTTTTAACATACAAAGGGGACGCGGATTTCAAACTGATGCTCACATCCTTCAGGAACTGTCTCTCTAAGGACACATTTAATAAAGTGCTTCAGCGTCCTGCACAAACAGCCCACGGGGCCACGCTCCCTGATGATGGCTAGTTCCAGGACGCTGCTTTCTTTTTTCTTTTAAATCGGCAAGCAGAGACTTAGGGGGGCGGTGACAGAGTAGTTCTCCAAGCTTTTTTTCTTCACAAATGTACCTTTCAGGATGTGCTATTGTTGGACGCAGATCACTTAACCAGACATCTCATTCTCCTGAAATGAATATCTGTACTTGTCACGCTACGTGTCCATTTGCATCTTGGAAAGACGCCTTCCTACCACCCAGAACGAAGCCGTTCTTTGATGTACATCAGAGTGCAATCAGTGATTCCACACAGATCTGAGTGAATAACTAATTACTTCGGTCGTACCGGTTCTGTCAACAGGGCACCATATGTCTGTGTATGCTTTCCAGTCCCTTCCATTAATTCTTTGGAAAACACGCACATGGAAACCAGTTTTCAAGCAGAGACTTCACTCAGTCTAGTAGCTATTGATTTACCATCTTTCATCCTTTCCTTTTGTTGCCTCGAATCACAGCCTAAAAGGGGACATATCCCATCTTATCTCTAAACTATTTTTTTTTCCTAATTACTTTCCAAGTAATACTTAAGTAAACAGAATGTAAGTGTAAAAACATTTTAAAAAAATAAATTAAAACTACCTCTTTTCCCCTACTGTGAGGACATTTGAACTGGTTCCAGCACTGAACTTGAACACTGGGTATCTTCCCTCTGGTTCCTCCACTGTTTTTATCTCAGCACTCTGATACTTTAATTTCCAAAGAGAATTTAGCGGTCTCTACAAGAGAAAACCTTTCACGAGGTACAGTCGTCAGAAATTACACCACTCTCATTCTTATTGCCTCCCTGTGCTGTGCCCTGCTGGACTCCATGTAGCTCCAGTGGGAGAGCAAAGAAGACGGTACAATTAAAAACTTGGATAAATTTCACAAAGCTTATGTACCCACAGCCGGGGTATTCTTTACTGTTCTTCGATGCCTTTTACTTGCCCACAGTGTGCTGAGTTTTAACGTCTTTGGGAAAATTGCCAGATGGTGAGTAGCAGAATTAAAACCAAACTGTTAAAGAGGGAAACACCGATGGCCATTTGTCTAGTTCTTCCCTCATTTCTCCTCTATATTGTGAGAAATCTTGTATGGATTAGCTAAGCAATAAGTTTTATTGGATTTTGTTGGAGGGTTGAAAGAGAGGACATCAAAGCCCATCATAAATATTTATTAATGATAAAATCATATAAACAGTCTTATCGCTCAGATGAGATTGGAACACTCCACCTTTGAGGGCTTGAGTCAAGATCATTCCAAGTGTGTCGTGGTTAAAGCTTCAGAGTCTGGCAGTAGTCAATGTAACCAAAAAAACAGACACGAATATTGCTTCTGAAAATCTTATATACGCTTGCCCAATTCTCAAACACGCCAAATAAGAGATGAGAAAGCTCCCAACCTGAGACATCACAATTATACTTTGTCACAGAGATGGGGAAAAAGTTTCGGGAAAAAAAAAAAAAAAAAAAAAAAAAAAAACAAGCAAGGGAAATATAGATTTGTAAACGTGCTTAATGCTTCACAAGAGGGTAAAAAACAAGGAAATCATTTTTATCAGGTAGATTGTTGGGACTACTCGATTCACATTTTGAACTGAGAAGGAACTTTGCATAGATTTTCCATATGATCACACATTCCTCCCCAAAGGGGATGAAAAAAGGAGAAGAAAACCACAGGGAAACTCAAATTCACATGCAACATTGGTTTAATGATAAAAAGTCAAGTAGTTCTGCAAAATGAAAGCAATATATGTATTTATATAAAGGAAAGAGGACATTTAAAACATTTCAACTGATAGACAGTAAGCAAGACTCTGCTTTTACATAATTCCTGAATAAACCCCCTCCACTGATCATTTAAAAGTAGAGCATTATACCAAGGCAAAGTGGAATTCAAAATCACAGATGCAAGGAGAGTCATCGAAAGCAGGAATTTCAAGAATAAGACATATGTTGGCCATGTAACCAGACAGGAGCTTGCTTCTGTCCCCTCTCTGCAGGAGGGCACGAGGGTGCTCAGCCCCTCTGGAAACTCTGGCCAGCAGCTCCATCCTCAGTCCGGCACCTGGCTTTGGGTTCCTGGTCGATGCACTCACGGGACGTCCAGCCCGGCTCTAGCAGGGCAGGCACCTTCTGCTGTAGGAGCGGCCACCAATGCAAGAGAGGCCAAAGCCCCCGGAGTTGATGGGCACTCCCTCAGCACTCAGGATGTTGCCAACAGCAGCAGATGCTGAGGATCCCACGGCGGTGTTCTGGGGGAAGGAGCTGAGGATGGGGCCGGGCAGGGTCACCACCACGGGAGAGGGCTGGATCACCACGCGGGAGTCCTGGCACTGCCTGACGCAGGGCTCGTTGCAGCTGTTGGCAAGCGGGGTTGGGCCACAGGGACGGCACAGATCGTAGCAGGACATGGCGGCGGGTCGGAGGTGCACCTGGGAGAGAGGGCAGGGAAAGCACAGGCAGCATGTGAGGCACCGCCTGAGAGCCGGCTCGCCAGCAGAAAAGGCACAGCCTGGGGAGCAGGGACAGCCTGCACAGGGAGCAAGGGAGAGTCAAGGGACCTGGTCCCCAGGGAACCCCTGCCTAGAGAGCCCAAGACCTTCACCCACATCCCATGGTGGTGGCGAGGAGCTGAGAGACAGGAACACAACCAAAGAGCGACGGTCTGGGAAAAGCAATAGCGAGCCCAGAAGACAAAGAGGAGAAGAAGAGAAAGAGCAGAGTGGGGCAAGGCGGTTGCAGCTCACCTTGTTCAGCAAGGAGGAGAAGGCGAGAGAAGTGGATGAGGGACTGTGCTGTGGCACTGGCTTTTATACTGGCCCAGACCGCCCCAGGCCCAGAGGCGCCATTTGCGCATGTAAGGAGTTTGCCAACAAGCTCATCTTCAATGCAAAGTGGCACAATTAAAGAAATGGGGACACTGCTTATGTTTTATTCAACGCTGCCTTTCAATTTCTGTCTTCATACCATGCCCTTCCAGCCACGCAGACTCCTTTCAAGTGACAGTATTACAGGCCAAAATGTTTCCACGGAAAATGACAGACAAGTAAAAGAAGAACGATACCACGCACGGCAACTCAGAAAAGAGTCAGCAGGTGCAGCCAAGAGTCCAGCCCAAGGGGCTTCATGCTCAAGGGGGCCCGTAAGGAAACCTACAAAAGAACAGGAAGCTTGTACTCCTGCCACCAAGCTGAAGGAAGGTCTAAGGGCTCAGGACAGAGCTCAGATAGAGCCCTGGGTCAAAGGGGAGAGGCAGGAGACACACACTGCAGCTGAGGCTCTAAAGGGCCATTGGACCTGCTGTTCCTGCACTCAGGCCACTGATGGGCAAGCAGAGGGTATCTCCTGTGCACCCGGGACACAGGGCACCTTCTCTATCCATCACCACAATGCAGGGAGAGGACTTCTTCCTTCAGGAGAAGAAGCTTATGTTCATATCATAAGTGCAAAAATCCGTCTTTTCTGATTATGGCTCCTTTCAATTACATCCCGGGCACAGAAAATCCACAGGAGGAGTCTCCCACCAGACCTTGATACCTCCACAGTCAGTGCATATGGCAAGGGTCGGCCCAAAGGCTCCAAAGCCCTGCTGTGTCCAGCTCCCTCCAATCATGTACCCCAGGTGCTGCCTGCCCTCCCTGGTACCATCTTCTCACCCATCCATGCTTCTGCTGCCATCTCCCTGTGGCTCAGGAGTGCTGATGGAGGGAGCATTTCCCCGCGGCCTTCCTGCACAGCGGGCACAGGGGGGTTGCTGACAGCAGCTCTTGCAGGGAAGACAAAGCTTTAGCTATGGGGAAAGGCAGTGTGGGGGTTCCCACGGTGTATGGGACAGCAGAAGACGGGACCCTCACTCTATGTGAACCAGTGCTGGGGGGCACTGGGCAAAACATCACCTGTGGAGGACTAGCAGATGTCACAGTAACGGACAGGTGGCTGCTTCTCTCCTCCATCCCTGTGTCAGAAGTAACCACCTCATGCCAGTGCAGCAAACCTCACCAATCACCTACCATCTCCATGCCTAAGTAAGGCCACTTCCCTCATCTTGCATTTCAGGGCTGAAAGACAGGTAGACACAATGACCTAATCGTGGATGCTTGCATTCTTTCCTTCACTCCACTGCTGATGAGAGGACAGAAAGGGATTTGCTAAATACCCTCAGCTCAGTGCCACGGGCCACAGGCCATACAAACACACAAGCAGTGACTGTGCTGCAAACATTGATGAGTACTTCCAGAGCCTTCTGGGGGCTACAGTGAGATGGTTTGGGGGGAGAGGTAGAGCGCTACCGGCTCCTAGGCATCTCTTGCATGTCTTGGAAAAATGAAATACATTGCAAGGCTTTGCTGAGAGACAAAAATAGTTTGTTCAGGAGACATTGATGTGGGTGGCGCTCAGAAGGTCATGTCACATGTGAAGGGCAGCCCCATCCAGGTGACCATTTCAGTGCGATTCGCCTCATCCAAAGCCCCCAGGGAACATAGGACTCCACCACAAACATTCAGACCCATCTTTGCACTCTATAATGTCTCAGTTCCCCCTGGATGTCTTGGCTGGGCATCCCAGGAGGGAAGAAACACGAGGAGACATGAAGCTACAATGCAGCATAAATTTTAATGAGTCTAAAGAGAAAAACCAAGCACCACATGCTGGGAAGGACCCCGGCCAGGCTGCTACAAGGGCATCTGACAGTCAGGAACCCATTCACAGCCATGGGACACACATCTTCCTCTAAACATACACGGGGAGATGGGGATAAGAAGGGCCCCTCTCTGCTTGTCTCTGCATGAAGCCATGGCACAGGAGAGCAGGAGACAACAGGGACTCATGATGTGGAGAAGAAAGCAGGAGAAGCAGAAGACATCAGCTGGACGTGATCCCAGCCAGCACAGGCTGGCACCTTGCCTCCCTCCCTCGTCTGCAGGAGGGCACGAGGGTGCTCAGCCCCTCTGGAAACTCTGGTCAGCAGTTCCATCCTCAGTCCGGCACCTGGCTTTGGGTTCCTGGTCGATGCACTCACGGGACGTCCAGCCCGGCTCTAGCAGGGCAGGCACCTTCTGCCAGAGTAGCGGCCACCAATGCCAGAGAGGCCAAAGCCCCCGGAGTTGATGGGCACTCCCTCCTCACTCAGGATGCTGCCAACAGCAGCGGAGGTGGTGGATCCCACGGCGGTGTTCTGGGGGAAGGAGCTGAGGATGGGGCCGGGCAGGGTCACCACCACGGGAGAGGGCT